ATTGTCTTCCATTGGGCAATCAGGCCTTTATTTTACAAAACCGTTGTGCATGCTCATAAATCGTTGTCACCCCTTTTACGTTGAAACGTACGGCTGCTAATCCTTATAGCGTTGGTAGTCAGTCGGCACGGTATTTGGTTTGGTAGTTGCGCGAGAGATTGAAATGTATAGTAGGTCTGTCAAATAGGCCAAAGGAAACCTGTTAGTTGTTGATGTGTCCAGTTTCGGTTGAAGCTACCGTGTAACGTCAGTACGGGCCACGCAGCCACATAACTGCCCTGCTGTATTTTATTAACGCGGTAGTTTTCTACTCTCACAAGCAGTTATCTTTCTTTCATAAGGTAGTTGTGCGTCTAAACAAAGTAAGGTAGTACTATCCCCGAAATTGCCCGCAATCCCACAATAACTTTCACACAATTCACGACCTTTATACCGAGTAACCATTATCAAACCGCGAACACATCGGAGGAACTATTCGTATTGCATAATCACGAGAGAGAGAATTGCACAGTAATGTTCAAGATAATAGCCCAGCCGATAGAACAGAATACGCACTAAGAAGAATGACGTGACAAAGGTATGAGATCTATAATACAGTGGTTTAGTGTTACAGGGAAATTTAGAAGTCTTTACTACGTTCAAACATAGCTTAATATCGGTAGCATAGCAAAGAGCTATATAGAAAGTCATTATAGTATGGCCTAGCACAGAGATATAGCACATAGCATAGCATAGCATGCTCTAATCTACATTACAATATGTCGGGATGGCCGCGCAGTGCAGAATCAAGTGATGAGAATCACTAAGATAGGAATGTGGATACTCATCTAGAGTCGCCGAAACACCTATTCTAATTCTTTTTTGGGGATGGCATTTTACAAAAATCGCGCTCAATCCTCGTGAGGATGCCATTCTATTTACGAACACTTATGCGCCGGACGCAGAAGTGGAAGGGATTTAAGAGGGTGTGGTGCGGCGGGAGCGAAGGGAAGAGACCAAGGTCATTTGAAGATCTTAGTGAAGTTCTGTGACCATGAACGTATGGTACGACGCTTACCTAGACCGGGAAGGATGTAGATCCTGTACCAATTTTGGTATGTGGGGTCGTACACGTGAGGCGAGACCGTAGTCGGTTTGTCGAGCGACGTGGGCGTGACGCTCCCCCTTGGGTTCAGGGTAGTCGTTTTTTGTGCACCCAAAACGAATAGGACCGAGGTTTTTACCACCTTACTCGAGGGGTAACTTTAGTCCTGTCGTCTTTCGAATGTGTAGAAGCCGCGTCTGACTTTTAGTAGAGAAACTGAGGTGAAACTCCGCTATCTTCAATGATTGTTTTCGGTAAATATATAATTATTTCCTGACCGAATAGATTTCGGTCAACTCATCGGGAACT